ATGCTTGAAATAAGGCTACCAATAGATCCTGTAAAAATATGCCATCATGCAACTACTGATCTGATCTGACTGATCTTTCTAGCTTATTTAGCGCCCTCACTCATTTATCTTTTGTTTTTAACTATAGCTAATAATAGTGTTCCCTCCAAGCCGATATGCTGCACCATGTGTACCAATTTTCTGTGATGCAACTAGTTGTGCTAATTCACTGGCACACCATTGACACAACAGAAAATCATACATTGTGAAACATCATACCATTGTTATGGAATTTTTAATAGGGATTTCTTACTGGCTTATTTAGCACCCTCACTCATTTATTTTTTCGTTTTTAACAATAGTTTGTAATAGACTGTCATGATTTTTTTGTTAATATATATATAATAAATGAGTTTGTCCTTACAAAATATGTTTATTATTTTCAATTCAGCAAAGAAAATAATTAAGGAGAATACTCTTTCGAATGAAGTCTGAAAATGACGACTTATGGATTGTACCTGTGTATGGCTGGTTTGATTGCATGTTCATTCGCTTCATTATCCGATTCAAGAATACCAAATTGGGCCATTTTGTGCTAAAAATTAATTAAAATCAAGCATTTCTGCCATATCAGATCCAGATCATACATAAATCAATTTCATTCAAACTTTTTACATACGTGTACACGTACATGTACAGGTACATTGGATATAGGACCTTGATGCACAGCATTTTGTTTTTCATATCAGATTTAAAATGGCTGAATTGTGGCTGATTTCTGGCAAACTGTTTTTTTTTTCAGAATGGGATGTTTTTTTTTTATTTTTTTGTTTTTTTTGTTTTGAGTGCAAAAATATTCTACAGCACACAGATTTTGCAGGTTTCATGATCTGTCAACTGAGGGCGCTGTGCCGTACATGTACATGTATGTGTCTAAGTATTGAGAGTAATGAATGCATCAAATGGTGTAGCTCATTATTTTGTAGACAGTTTCACACAAAGAGTTGTGAAGTTGTAACAGAAATATTCCTAAGAGATTCATATGATCAGTTTCACAGATTGTCTATTGCATGATAAGGAACAAAACTTAGATTGATTTTATTATTTAATGGAAATCATCATTATTAATTTATATTCATTCCTTGAAGTGTTGTATTTTTGCAGATTTATAAAACTAATTGCTGCATATGTTGAAATTGCCTTTGGTTGTCGGAATATTGTGCACAATGTCTGTGTGTATTACAGCTCTTCACATTTCTCAAGGATCACTCATTTGATTTAGTGCTTGAGTGCTTTAAGATAATTTGTCAGTTTTCAGTTTAAATCTGTGAATTGTTAATTATATATTTTGTATATACGTGTAACATCCCACTCATGGGATAACTAGTTAATAAATTAATAAATGCTGCTCGGACTGATAAATAAGATATACCGGCATAATAGATAATAGATAATATTTGGTAATCTATTTTTAATAGTTACTTAAGACCAAATATTCTCTATTATGTATCAAAGAATAACTACTTTTAACATTGCTAATATATATAATATAGAATAATTTGTATATAAATAATAAATGACTTGGGGTATCAGTTTTATTATTATTTCATATGGGTGTAATGATTTTAATACTTTGGATAAATAACAGCTTGATTTAATAATTTTTGAATATCAGACAGAGGTCACATTTATAAAATTTGTTTATTTTTAAAAATTTGTATTATAATATGCTATATACGAAAGCTTTTATGCGTTACCACCAAACAGTTCATTCAAAAAACAAATTCTGTTTACTGCAAGAAAAGACAAGTGATTTATTGGATAACCAAAATTCTGTGCATTGGTAAGTTGAGGGCCAGGCGGTCCATTGGAGAAATGAATTCTGTGGAATATGTGGAAACAACATAATTTCTAATTTTGTGCAAAAGGACCAAGGAAATTACAGATGTGATAAAAAAATTAACACAGATTTTTTGTGACATATTTGGTTAATTTATTTAATACTGTAAAAATGTATTTAAAAATTGAGAAAATAAATAAATGTTATTTTACATTCCTGCTACTGTATTTGCTTCATTAGAAGTGCATATAAAATCAAAAATCACATCTGTTATATGCTTGATCATAAAAAATTACTTATTTTAACTATAGAAACACCACTGTGATTTATATATATACTAAAAGAGCAAATACGATACATTCTGATTTTGTAATGGAAAATCAAATGTGTTGTAACACATTTAATTTTTGTATTACGTGTGATTTCTGTTGTCTGTTTTATTGCCACAAAAATTCACCCAATCTTAGTATTACCAATAAGAATTCCATTTTTGCAGGGAAACTTTTATCAGATATGTGGCTGGTAAAATGGCTTGCAAAAAAAATTGGTCATTGTTTTTTAATAACAAAAATGCTTTTTGAGAAATATAAATAAATTTGCCATAAGTTGTCTTTATATTTTTCTATTATTTTTTTTCTAAAAAAAATTTATAATAAATAAATAAATAAATCAATATTTTTCTCACTTGTAAACATAGTAATGGAAACATGCTAATGTTAGATTCTATAAAAGTTAGATTTTAGATGAAGAACATTCTTGTTGTGAAAAAGTTACTTTACCACATTCTTTTTTAAACATAAAATACCACTTCTGCTTACAAATAATTTAGTCTGTAATATTTGAAACATAACACTACATATCCATGCCTTGAGGTTATAATAATATCCCAGTACATGAATCAATTACAAAACAAGCTGACAGGCCAGATGAAATATGTATTATCTCATTTAGAAGATATCCCCACTGATGCTCTTTTGTTTTTTCACTGACTTCCCATCTAGGGTAAACTATGATAGCAATTTATGCATGAGAAATAATTGGATTGAATATCAGTTGTCTTAATTACTGCGTTAACCCGAGTGGCATTCAATATGGAATGATATATATCTTACTTACATGTATGAGATATATATGGTTTTAAATATCATTCTTATTATTTCGTGTCTGGTTAACATGGAAGCTATCAGACGTTCCTGCTTATTATATATAAAGTGTCTTTCTGCCTCAACTCGGTAAAATAATTCTAGCAAAATTTTGCATTTTCAGAATATACATTCAAAAAATGTATTAGAATTTGTTAATTTTGTGTATTAATTATTTTCATCATTTTTGTTTTGTTTTAATATTTTCTTTTTTGTTACAGTTCATACTAGGACAGTTTCGACCCACTAGTGAACACATAGATGCTGCATCCATCGGTGAAGTCATTGACTCTGTATTCACACCTCCTGTGCCTCCACCGCCATACTCTCCTCCGGAATATGGGGAAATCTCTGGTGATCCTATTATGGTAGAAGCAGGTGTCTTTGTTGAAGAAGTCGGTACAGATGCTGCTAATGCTCATGAACTGCCACCACCATATTGCATACTTGATGTCTCACCAGACAGCGCTTTTGAGCATCTTACATCAGAAGCATCACCTATGGAACCGTTACAGGTAAGCACAGCTGGTAATATATATTAATGAGGACTGTATGTGTGTGTACTGCATAGTGACAAAATGCCTAACTTCATCTCAACTAACAATTCACAGTTCTACAACATTTGAATATGATTGCTAGTCTGTCATTGTGCATTGTTCTTTGTGCTGTTTTTTATTCTGTGTAAATTGTTGTTCACTTGCTGATCAATGATATAAAATAAAGGACTCTTTCTTGTAGTATATTTAATTACAGACATATTAGATATCAAAAGTGTCCAATATTTCCTGGTAGCTGACAACAGCAACATGTTGGTTGTCAGATTTTTGTGATGAGCTGCTGCAATGCTATTGGCCAGAATTCTGTTCAAATTACACGTTACACATCACTTTTATAATTACTATTTTGCAGTAAGTAATGGGAAAGAAAAAATTTTCCTCTCGTCTGGCATAAATTCAGGATTATAACTTATGAGGGTGATTTACTAAATTGGATTTATTTTCAAGATAGATTGGATTTAGAAATATGTAATTTTAGCTTTGTGTTTAGCTCTGTGCTCAAGTTTCAGATCTTTCATTTTACTTAACACAAAGCTAGATACCCGGTATATGCTATTTTTTTTAAAAATGAATATGAATAATAATAAAACTCTTATACTATAGACTGCATTAACAATGACATGTTTGGTGAGACTATCAAGTCATTATCTACAATTGTGTGGTCTGAGTAGGTATTATAGCATTAAATCTATAGTGACCTTTTCCTTACACACTTTATGAAGGGTGAAGAATGTAGTGGACTTTAAAGGTCAAATTCAAGCTCAGTTTAACTGCTTTAACGTTTAGGCTGTTTAGTTGTAACCAATTGTGTATGACTATAATTGTTTTATTAAATTCATATAAATCACATGACTGGTGCCAACCAATCGCATAGTAGTATATGATTACCTAATATGAGCTTGTTTGTTTATATGCTAATTAAATATATATATCACATGATCCATGCCAATCAATCACATGTCAATATATGATTACCTAATATGAGCTTGTTTGTGTACATGCTAATTAAATATAAATCACATGATCCATGCCAACCAATCACATGTTAATATATGATTACCTAATATGAGCTTGTTTGTGTACATGCTAATTAAATATAAATCACATGATTTGTGCCAACCAATCACATGGTAGTTAATGATTGACAATCATAGTAATGCTCACTGCATCTGATGTTAATTATAGTGATGTGTTCAAAACAATAGGTACATGTCAGCTCATTTTCTTTTACATCCATTGCTAGAGGTGATTTCAAGAAGTAGTCACAGCTGTCAAAATGTTTATTACTTGTATGTGATTTACACCTATCCAATGACATAGTGTATGTATGTAATGTGACATGCTATTAAATAGATTTGGCTAGCCAGCTACTTTAGATACAGACATGTACCACTCATAGACCTCTTTGCATTCTACTATATTATCACTGCATTCCTTACCTGCTTGCGTCAAAATGTACAGAATTAAGGACAGGAGAGTTAAAAGATAAGATATTGTTGGGAAAATATCTAGTGTATATCGTCTTGCATTCAAACAAGCAGCATTCAGCTTTCTTTGTATTATGGTTAAAAAAAACATATTTAAAGTGTTTGTATGATATAGTTGACACTATTATTCAGCTTTTAAATGTCAGTATTTGGCATAATTAGTATAAAGTTACATCAGTGATTAAAAAATGTGTATTACAAATTTGTTTTAGGTTTAGACAAATAAAAAAAAAATTGTGTGAGAATTTTAAATTAAAATAAAATTGTTTTCCCTTGCATTGATTCTGGAAAGCAAATTGACCAGAGACTTTTAATTTTTGTTGAGGGTCTTTTTACCTGAATGGTACTTTGTAATTGTGGCTACCTACGTGGGAAGCAGCTCAAAATTGCACTTCACTCAAAGAATAAATGTTTTTTTGTCTAAGTTGGTACATGTATATTTAACTTTGCTTCTTATATCATACATCAGTCTGCTGTCTATTTTGTAACATCTTTTGTAAATGGTCACTATAGCAATGCATCATGGGATATAATATATTTCACAGTAAATAGTTGAATAAAATAGTAATAAAATATACATTATGCAATGTTAATAATTGGAGTATGATAAACAATAACAGTGCTGTTGCCATGGCGTCCAATATTTATATCTAATGTGAAGAAATGACATGAATAGGGATTTGAAAAAATAACTGAATTATAAAAATGACAATTATAGAAATGACATATGAACTGATGTACGCAAAATTTGTAATATCATAATTTATCACTTTTTGTTTATTTCATCACTTCTAAATGCATACATTTGAACATTTTATTTTTGTAATGATTTGTCATCTATAATTACCTAAAAACGAATGAAAAACAACAAATATAGTTCATTATAGATTCTGTGGTAACTGCAGTAATTATTTTTTAACTGTACATGTATTCGCTATGCTGTTCCTTTTATCTCTATATTCTCTTTTTTTTCATATCCTACACAATTTGAAATTGGTTCATCCTAAAATTAGAAATTGATTCACTCCAGGTTTGAAACTAGGTTACCCCATCTGTGGAATTGGTTCACACCTAAGTTTGAAATTAGTTTACCCCTAAGTTTGGACTTAGTTCCCCCCCCCCCCCAGGTTTGGACTTGGTTTATTCCTAAGTTTGGTATTAGTTCATCCCAAGTTTAGAATTGGTTTATCCCTAAGTTTAGAATTACTTCACCCCTGGTTTTGAATTGGTTCATCCTGTGTTTTAAATTGGTTCACCCCTAAGATTGGAATTGGTTTATCCTGTGTTTTAAATTGGTACATGTTCACCCCTTAAATTGGAATTGGTTCATCCCGTGTTTGAAATTGGTACATGTGCAACCCTAAGATTGGAATTGGTTCATCCCATGTTTTAAATTTGTTCACCCCTAAGATTGGAATTGGTTCATCCCATGTTTGAAAATTGTACATATACACCCCTAAGATTGGAATTGGTTCATCCCGTGTTTGAAATTGATACATGTACAACCCTTAGATTGGAATTGGTTCATCTCATGTTTTAAATTGGTACATGTACACCCCTGAGATTGGAATTAGTTCATCCCATGTTTGAAAGTGGTACACCCCTAAGTTTGGAATTGGTTCATCCCATGTTTGAAAATGGTACACCCCTGAGATTGGAATTGGTTCATCCCATGTTTGAAAATGATACATGTACACCCCAAAGTTTGAAATTGGTGCACCCCAAAGTATTGATCAATGGGAATATACATTTTAATAAAACTGCTGAATCAACTGTTTGGTGATAAATCACAACTCTGTTTTGTCTGGAGATTAAGCTGCCAAACCTTTATGAGTAGAGAGAAATGATTTACTGATTGGGACACAATATTATCAAGTGGACTACACAATGATATCCTTGTATTCTCACATTATAAATTGCTTCTAGTCTGTTTTTGCAATAACCTATATAATTGTTTCCGTTGGCCTGGTATCATCATGCTCTGGCATTGCATTGGTAATTTACATACTACTTGTATCTGCTAATATAATTTTACAACCATCTAAATTTAGTTTTTGTCAGTATATTTGTAATCAAACATGAAAATTAAAAGAGTTTGAGATATGGATTACTGATGATATAAAATAATTCAGCTCTTCTGCTGTCAACACAAGAACTTTATTACATTCCTTCACATGGTTTAGAACAGCAACATCCAAGGCATTTTGCGGCCCAGTGAAGCATACATGTATTGAGCCTTACCACTTGTGTAGACCGTTTCTATGCACAAAACGGTAGACAAGATGGCGACGCTTTCAATATTCCGGGTAACTGATGATGTATGTGATTGTTTTCAAAGGTTTGCATCACCTGAGAGACATGTATTAACAATTATAGCTATCACATATGAATATTCATGCACTGGCCACACACTACGAGAATTTACCCCCTTAACATCTCCTGTTTTGGGGCACAATGGCTTTATTCTAACAATAAATACATCTGTTGATTTGCTGCAGTGAGACCATCTATAAAACTGATCTCTCCAGGTGTACTCAGAAAATTATACTTGGTTTACAGAATTATTTGCTGTATAAAAGTCTGTGAAAACTGAAAAATTGTATTTGACAGGTTGCCTGTGAGAGTTGATTTACTGTACATTAATTCCAGATGTATTACCCACTCTGGCTTTGTGAAGCTATGGTTTACTTCTCACAATTGGCAACACACTGTCAGCAGTAGTGTCAGATGTTACACATCAAAGCAAGTGAAAGTATAAAATGCAGCCATTGACAAGTAGATTCTTGAACACTGTGAGATTACAATCTCCGATCACATATTGGATGTTTTAATTTCTTTACATTTCCAACGAAGTCATGCATTAAGCATACAAGATCGATCAATCAATCAATCACTTTATTTAACCTCAGAAAACATTGAAGTAGCACACAGGGTGCTAATACAGCTGAGGTCTTGCTTGAACAAGATCTCAGTTGGTAAAACATTAGATCATGAATAGTTGCTGACCTGAATCAGATGTACAGCTACAGATTAAAACTACAACTATTAACTAAATACTCAGAACTGCTCCTTGCTGGTCTGATTATGAACACCACCATCTGATTATGAACACCACCATCTGATTATGAACACCACCATCTGATTATGAACACCACCATCTGATTATGAACACCACCATCTGATTATGAACACCACCATCTGATTATGAACACCACCATCTGATTATGAACACCACCATCTGATTATGAACACCACCATCTGATTATGAACACCACCATCTGATTATGAACACCACTATCTGATTATGAACACCACCATCTGATTATGAACACCACCATCTGATTATGAACACCACTATCTGATTATGAACACCACCATCTGATTATGAATACCACTATCTGATTATGAACACCACCATCTGATTATGAAAAAAGATGGCCTCCACATAAAAGAAAGTATTAGGACAAAGAA